TCTTTTCACGTCTTTTGAAGTCCTTCATCTCCTTAGCACTTGCATATATGCTTGGAGCCTCTTTACTTTCATCTACAATGCCCCCAAAATCTAAAGATACCAACAAAAGCTCCATTTTGACCTTCAAGTGGTAGAAATTTTCTCCTCTAAACTTCTCAATGACTCTCAAAACTTTACTTTTATTAGAAGCCATATCTAAGAAGGATTCCATCTAAAAATATGAAGAAAAGGAGTCACTATGAACTTGAAATCACCAAAATAATTTTTCACTAGCAGAATCTCATAATGCCTTCTCGTAAACAAATGAGTGCTTTCTCACTCAAAATACATTCAACTCAAGCTCTGAAGCTTCTAACTAGTATGTATATTCGAATAAACCTCACTATCATGAATTATCACTCTTTGAAATCAACTATTTTATTATACATGTAAGATAAGTAAAAGAACATGAGTAAAACAAAAAGACACTATCAAGGTCTTTCTATAATATCTTAAACTCTCAATCTTAGGAGATAAGAACCCACAAAGCAATATTAGAGATCTATAAGGTCAAAGTTAGTACCTCTTCATGCCTAAAATTTAAATTTCAATCTTAAAAATCCTAACATAAGTAAACATCACAAGATCAATTCCACACAAGTATGACCACAAGAGAATGACACTAACTTACTTGCATGGCACAACAAAGTATATGTGGGTGCATAACCTATTGAAGAAATATAACAAATAAGATATGAATATATAAAAATTAATAAGGTTGTATATAAGAAAAGTGTGGAATGAAATATCTTCCACTTCCAACTTCTTTACTTATAGGTAGAGTTTATATTTATTATGGCTGAATTTTATCTTCATCAACCTTTACTTTATCTAATAAAATCCTAACTGCCACTTAATCTAGCCGCCACTTAAAATCCTAGTCATTGTCATGTTATAATATGACTATATGGTAAAAGATGATAATATGGATCTTATTATAGAAGAGCCAAGTTAAAAGATAAAGTAAAAAAATATAGATAAAAGATAGAAAGATAGTAAAACTTTTAGTAATAATACTATCTTTTTAGAAAAGTGACTTCTACTTATTTTGTAGGGCCATAAATAAGACAAATCAAAGTAGATTGGAAAAATAAATGATATATGCATCTTTAGAAGGAAGTTAAGAGTAAATTCTAGAAAAAATTACCTAAAAATACTAGATATTGATATCCAAAGAGGGCCAGTTATGAACCAAGGTTGAATTCAAACCCCAAGGCACAAAACCAAGCCTCAACAACGATCATGGGATTCTTTTGAAGATCGGAGAGTAAGATCTAGGAGCAAACTTGATAAGATTTTGATAAGCATTAATTTTGGGTGATTTAGATCTCTACTGACTTTATAAGAGCTTTGCAAAGTTAGGGTTTGTTTTGAATGATTTTAGATTTGTGAAATAAAATGACAAATACTTTTTAAAAAATTCCATAAGTTTGGCAATAGATCTATAAGTAATTTTTTGAGGGTTTGTGGGTTCATATGTATCCAATGTATGTTGTCAGCTTGAGCTTGATCGAAGGATTGGATCGAGGTTTAAGTGGATAAGGATCTTAAAAAATAGAGTTTCAGATCCAGTGAGGATTTCTAAGGTTTCTTATTATATATTAGTTGGATTGGAGTGAAATTCATGTATAAAGATAGTAGACTTGTTTTACTATGTATATGAAAATTTTGAGATCAATCGAACTATGAAAAGGAGAGATAATGGCTCTAAGAGATTAACATCATAGTCGAAGAAGGAAGTCGGCCAATACTCAAGCACATTTTTGAGGTTATCGTCTATTTGATAATTTTGATTTTGATTTTGATTTTTTCTTTTCTTTTTGTACTTGTTATCAATTTAATTGTTAAGAAGTGTGCAAATTTTGACTTAAAATCAATGGTTCATTCATTAGTTATTGAAGTTCAAATTTATTGTAGGAATTACATGGTATTGGTTAGGGATTTGGTTTAGGGTTTAGGATTTAGGATTTAGGGTTTAGGATTTGCTTATGATTTGGTATAAGGTTTAGAGTTTGATTAGGATTTAGTTTAAAATTTAAGATTTGATTATGGTTTACTTTAGGGTTTAGGATTTAAGGTTTGATTATAATTTGATTTAGGATTTAGGGTTTTTTGTTGTAATTTCTATTCTACCTTCCACAACAAGATACCTGGAGCATTCTCAAGTAAGACTTCATGTATTACAATACTACCACCTAAACCTTAGCTACCATCTTAGTTACCTCCCTTTACCTTTTTGCTACGCTTTGACCATTAGTAACTTATCTAAGGTAATACTTACTTATTTTATCATATTGATGGTAATACTTATTTACTTTAATAATGTAAAATATAAAAATGATTTAAGCAGTAAAATTCAAAAGAAAAAATGATGACAAAACATATAGCTATACAACTCCATCTACACACATATATATAATTGCTATTGATTGTTACTTTTTATTATATATATATATATATATATATATATATATAATTCATATATATATATATATATATAATTCATATATATATATATATATATAATTCATATATATATATATATATATAATTTTTTCTAGGGATAATCATCAATTAAATTAAAATTTTGGTGAATTTATGATCTGTATGAATGAAGGACAGTCATAACATAATACTTAACACACAGTGTTATTGAGACTCTTGTTTACAACCAGAACATATGAAACAATCAAAATCAAACAAATAGAAGAAATACAAAGTCAAGGTTCTATGAGAATACTATACTCTTTATAATACATGTTTAGATATTAGTTTATTCAATTTGTTCTATTTATTTTTCATCTATTTGAAATGAAGTACTCCAGATGACAGAGTTAATAGCACCTACTGCTGAAATAAAGACCACAGATATTGAAGTAGATTACGTTTATAAGAAAGAAACATTTCACTAAACTGTGAAAATTTGTGTCTCCCTGGGAAATGTAAAGTTTAAATGTAGAAACAATATTGCACTTTATTCTGTGAGGGTGGGGGGGGGGGGTGAAGTAAAGAAATTGAGGTAACCAATAAAGATGTGCTTTTATTCATCTATGTGTGTGTGCAGGAGTGAGAGAGTGTGATAGAATGTGAGATGGAAGGAGACTCTTATGCGCTTTAGCAGCAAATTTGGAGTAAACCAAACCATTCCTCTGTTCTCCTACATAGTCTTACTTTTTACCAAGGAATACACAGATGCACCTGGAAGAGCAGAGGATCGTAAACCTGGGATCCATCTCCTTTGTGGACAGAGCCATGGACACGGTGGCGCTGATCCAACTGGGCCCTGACCCCTGAGGCACGTGGCCGTCCCTCCGTCTTCGCGATCTCAATTATTGCCTCGTCAGCAGTGATGTGGACTTTGATCGTGCTCCGTTGGATCCACCTGGGTGGGTCGAGTGAAGAGCTGCTCTATTCACACACAGAGATCGGGACTCCAATAACATTGGGGGGGGGGGGGGGGGTTTTGGGTGATGGCTCTGAGCATCCGGGGTGCTTGGGATGAGCTGTCCAGCTTTTTGCAGGGCTGGGCTGGGTCGGGGCCACGAAGTTCATCCGTCCCGCACTCCACGGAATCTGAAAATAGAATATGCTGAGGAAATTATAATAAAAAGTATTTCAGCAATTGATTTCTACCATCATTTTGAATAGTTGTTGTTACAATGTTTTTGAAAAATCGGAGGATAAGAAACTAATAACAATGAAAATTAGTAACTGCAAATGTAAGGATAAGAATGATGAGCATGCAGAAGCAAGGCTCTAGCTGCCCATCACAGAAGTTCATCATCTTTGTTAATGTAGGATTGCATACCATGAAATTTTATCAATAATTCCCATGGTAAATTGTCATGGTGCAATGGTGTGATGAAAAACAAAAACAAACGATAAAATAATCTTAAACCGTACACACACACAAGATATATATAAATTTGTCATTCATTCACACCCAGATTTTATTTTATTTTATTTTATTATTATTTAGTACACTGCAAAGTCAAACCTTAAGCATATATTTTCATAGTTACAGCAGTATTTATAAAAATATGAATACATGTATAATGAAGGATTATTTTATCTAAAAAATTTATAAAAAATTGGTTAATCCCATTTAATTACAAATGTTTAGCCAACCTTTAAGTTGCCCTTCAATAATCAAAATGGAAGCTAGCACGTGTGGGTTAAATCTCTGATTAAAACAATAGGTTTGACATGAGTATTATACAAAAACTTGGGATTCTGGATGACTTTGAATTTAAATTACAATTTCATTCTTTGGTGTTGGGTATTAAAAAATATTTTGCATACCTTACATATAAATAAATAAATACATACATAATATATATATATATATATATATATATATTTACATACACTTATAGACATGTATACATTTACTAAAATAAAAAAATATTTTTATTTACTTCAAACCATCTGGATTGTTTCTAAAACTTACTCCAGAGGTTTGGACTTCAAAGTTACAAACTTCGATTTTTTTTTTTTTTTTTTTTTAAATAACCTAACGAACATTTTATTTTTTTATTTTTTAAATTTTTTATGGAAAGATGAGAGAACGTTTTCGGTTCAATATGAAGTTTGTAAATAGAGTTACAAATACTTCATTTAATGAAATGTAGATTATTCCAGATTGAATGAAAGCCAAATTCGATGAATGTGAAATCGTATCATCCGTTACCTTGATCTGCAGATGACCGAAGCTTCCCGAAAGCCTGATCTCTGTGTTTAACGTAATTTCCCGCTTAATTCAAATTATTGAACTTGAAAACGCCCTTAATCATGATCAGCATTGGAGTGAGGAGTTCCGAGGCGATGCTTGTGAAGGGCGCCGGTGCCGAGCTCATCGTATGCTCAATTCGCACACCAATTTGCGAGTAACTGAGGATTCAAGGCGAAGTCAGTGGAGGGGCTGCTATTGCGTTTCCCAATCGGCTGAGAGAAAGGTGCGAATCACCATCACATTCTTTCTTCTTTTGTGTTTCTCCAACTTTCGGTGTTTTAGGTGTTTGATTTTGCAAAGCAATGCTCAAGACTGTGATCAGAATCGCAGTTCCTATGGGTCGACTTGAACTTCGTTTTTGCGCCGCCATTTCTGTGCTGCCAACCCGGAGATCATTGAAGAGGGTTTCTTTTTTCACCATGCCCTACGTTCTCATATTTTCTGAGACAGTCATGACTTAGTCACCGAGAGTCATCGTGATCCAATTGGATCTTATTCCGTTTCACGAAGTGTGCAGACATTGATTTGGATCAATTCCGAACTGATCGGTTTGGTTGTTGAATGTTTTGGGAGTGCTTCTCTTTCCATCTTGCCTGAAACCCTAAACTCTTCCTCACCCTTCCTGCACCACCGTCTGGTACTTTGTTAGGTCTATTGTTGTCAGTCTCGTTACCAAAATTGCTGAATTGATAATTTCTGATTGTGTTCCATGGAGCACCTTGACCTATCAAGGTTGCCAAGTTCTGAAGTTTCGCGTATCAGGAGGCTTGTTACTCTTCTTGGACTTCTGTAATTTTGTGGGGTTGGAAACGAAGAAAGTGGAAGAGAGAGAGACATGGATTTTGTTGAGCTTGAAGGAGGTGAAGGCCATCTACAGCATACGGGCTCGTTGATCGTGGTACGCACAATCTCAACTCATTGTTTTTATTTTTTGTTTACCTTTGCACTTTAATCCTTTTAATTTGATTTAATATATAATAATACAATCATGATTATTTATAAAATTGAAGCTTTGTATTTGTCATGTGAACTGGAGATGTACAAGGTTTGAATGGATTGACAAATATTGTAATCTGATGGTTGTGTGGGTGCAGCCTGCTCTCTCTATGGGCAATGCAGGACAACTGGCCGTTGATCTGTTAATTTCTCATGGTGCTTGCAAATCAGGTTATCTTGATGAGCCTCATGTATTGCCTTGCGTTGGAAACGATCCATTCGGCCCTTCCGCAAATGGAGACCTCGCTGTGGCACTGGAGGGTATGTTTGTGAAACGCAAAAAATATATTATCCTCGAGTATGAGTATGTTTGCTGAAGAGCTATGGTTTGTAATGACGATACTGATAATCAACCTTGGGTGACCAGTTTACGAGGATGCAGAACTAAATGCCAGTATTATTCAGCAGCGATCTCCTGTCATTAAGGTGTTACTTCATCCATTTTGGTTTTAAATAAATTTAAAGAAAAATAGGGGTGTTACTTCATCTATTTTTATTTAAATTTATTTAATTTTTGTTTAATAAGTTCGCATTCACCTTGTTCGGAACCCAGAATCAAGTTAATCGTCACGATGGAATCTCTTTAATAGTTGATTTACGTGCATTTTCTGTGATGAAGCAGGGCACCATGATGAAGTTTTCAAAAAATCTCGCCACGTGGGCAGCTCAAGAGGGTGTGAAAGAGGTCATAATCTTGTCTGGGTTAGATTCTGGAAAGGTTCAACGGAGTGAGACGAACGCGTATGTCATGCCTTCCTGTTGACTGCATTCTATCTTATTTTGAACATATACACTTCTTAAAGATTCTATGGTTGGCTCATGCTTGGATCGTTATCATGAGGATGTGGAGACAAACTGGATCAGCACACCAACACGTATTTGGAATTCATATTTGATTAACTCACGCAGATTATTTCTCCAAAGCAATTGGCTATGTGAGCATTAGAAAGCATTTGAGACTCAATCTTTTAGTTTTTCCAGTCTTACCGTCTTTTTGCTTTGACGAATGTTTGCTCCCATATTTTTGCGTAGTATTCTCGTATGATCTAATATGATCAGAGCTGATTTGCAGTTGCTCTTCAGGTTATGTTTTTTGCTCAGTTACTTGTTTCAATTCCTGTTCGCAGTATGCAATTACAGTATATCTCTACAGCAAATGAAGATGGATCTGACGATCGATGTGAGCAGTTAGGGTGGAAACGACTGCATCACTATCTTCCTTCAAGTGAAGCTTGGCAGGTTCTGGATCATCAAGCTATGTCAGCCGAGGATTCGTTATATTCAGAGATTCCACAATCAGATGATCTATACTTTCCGAGACAGCCCTTTGCTTCACTTTTGGCATGTTGCAAGGTATGGTTTTGATCACTTGGAGTTCCTTCATATTTAATACACATTTAACTGCTTCAAGTGTTCCTGATCATGTAGTTGTTTTGCTTCTGCCTCGTGTAGTTAAATTTTGCTTATCATCTACTTTCTTAAGCTTGTTTAATATTTGTCCTTCATGGGTCGCCTATTGACTTCTAAGCTTGTTGGAGTTATTTGCAGGCACAAGGTTTAAAGGTAGTTTGTATTCTCTGCTTTTGTGCGGAAGGAGATAATGTCCCAGATGCCTTTTTGATCGCCGATGGTTTACACCGCCTTTTATGTCATGAAAAGAAAGAACCTCAGGGTAGGGAATATTTTATTGGATGCTATATTTCATCTTCAGTTTCGACAATTGTTGTTTTTTGCATCCTTTTGCTCAAAAATATCCTCAGAATTCTACTTAATGAATGCTAGTCTATGGATGAGTTTTATTCCCTTTCGACCTACTTTTTCAGGGGTTCTCCATGATACCTTTTCTGCCCATGCTCTCGCTTTTACTGACTTTGCTTGCTCTCTTGGGAATGTGCTGGATTGGCTAGGTTCTGGAGTCACTTGGAAAATTCCGTTGTCGTGGACTACTGTCTACGGGCCACCTCCTGATGATACTATGTTCTGCTGATTTTGGTAGGTCTAGACTGAATGTTTCTGCAAACTCAAGCTTATATCCATTTGGTAGTGATTATGCAAGGTGTATGCTTCCACACCTGAGATGACGGAAAAAAATTATGAGCTCGACATGAATTTAGGTCGAGTTTTTTTGGCATATGAAGTGATTATGTCTGCACACTCATTCCATTTTCTTGTCCCTTTGCTACTTTCGATATCCGTGGTTGGCGTGGTTCTACCGTGTTAGTGTACCGCAAGCATTGACTCCTATAAGTTGGATTGAACTTGGTTGAATTGTCTACTTCTTTACAAAACTTGACTCGGAATGCATGATAGGAATTTTAGTTGGATAATAGCACGTCTAGGCCGCCGAATGGGCTAGTGGCCTCGTGTGTCAACAACGTTCGTTCCAACTCTAAGTGTCAATGATCTTTAGAGAATGCCCAGAGGTTTTAATTCTCTTACCTGGAAATAATTCTTAATGTACCAATTGTTTTAGGGGTGTGTAGGCGTTTGTTTCACAAGAATTGTGTTATTTTTCTGTGGACCATTTGATATGAAAATATTTTTGGACGGCTTAACAATGTTGTATGTTTTACGGAGTTTTCCACAATTTGAGAAACGTATGGAAACGAGGCTCGTGAATGTTGACAAGGTGATATATTTTATGTACTCGGTAGCAAAGGATGCTCGTAAAGATTTCCAAAGAAGCTCCAGATAGATTTCTCGCATGAATAGCAATGACAGTAATAAGAGTTTGAACTTCGTAGTTGGCTGCTCGTTGCCAAGTGCACCAGTTCTGCATCACCATCAGATCCTCTATTCATTCATGTGAGCATCCTCGGATGCTGCGGTAGTTGGATTACTTGGGTAATGAAGCTGTTACAGGAATTCCTGCATTTCCCGTGTAATCAAGTCTACGTTCCTCGTCAGTACACCCAAATCAACGTTAACTGGTTAGAACGGGGAACAGCGCCTATTTTTCGAGACCCGTAGAAGACAAGATGCACTTCGAAGTGCAATGTCTCGAAATGAGGATATTACGAGGGCGATGCCCTAATCAACTGTGCCTCACGCTCTGTTCGCTTGACAAATTAGTGTCGATGATGGAGCAGTGCAGGCTGTGAGTAAGGAAAACCTAGGGCAGTTAGTTGGAGGGAAGCAGAGGGGTAGAGCAATGCATAGTGTGCAGCCCAAGTGGACGGGGTGGAAGTGGGAGAACGCGGTTGCGGGCGGGGTCGCAGGGTTGGCCCCTGTGGTGGCGCTCTACCCGTTCGACATCGTACGCACTCGGTTTCAAGTTCACGACGGACGGCATTCGGGCGTACCCTCGTACAGGAACACGCTTCATGCTTTGTACACTATCAGGCGCGTGGAGGGGTTGCGAGGGCTGTATGCAGGTCTTTTACCGGCGCTTCTTGGATCCAGCTTGTCGTGGAGCCTTTACTTCTTTCTCTATGGTAGCATAAAAGAACGAAACCAGCGGCTGTTTGAGCGGGATGAGCTCGGACCTTTGTTGCATTTGCTATCCGGCGCCGAAGCTGGTTCAACAGCGACTGTAATTACGAATCCAGTCTGGGTGGTGAAGACGCGCCTACAGCTCCAAGCTCCAGGCCATGGTGCTCGTAAGCCGTACGCGAGCTTCTCTGATGCTTTCCGCAGCATTCTGAGAGAGGAAGGGCTGCGTGGTCTGTACAAGGGGCTTGGTCCGGGTCTTATTCTCGTCTCTCATGGAGCCTTGCAATTCATGGCCTATGAGGAAGGACGGAAATTCTTGATTTCGCACCGTAGTAAGAGAGCGCCAGGGCAGCCTTTCGAAATTTCCACTAAAGAGCAGCTTGTGACTTCGCGAGATTTTGCGATTTTGGGAGGGTCATCGAAGCTTTTCGCAGTGATGGCGACTTACCCCATCCAGGTAGTGCGTTCGCGACTTCAGCAACGGCCAAGTAAAGATGGGGTGTCCAGATATGTGAATACCTGGTATACTTTCAAGACCACAATGCGATATGAGGGCTTCCGAGGTCTGTATAAGGGAATTGTTCCACACCTGTTACGGGTCGTGCCCTCCTCGTCACTTCAATTTCTTGTCTACGAGTCTATATTGAAATTCCTCAATTGAAAATCAAGAAATTGACGAGCCTGGATCGATTCAAGGCAAGCAGCATGAATGCATTGCGTCATGTTTGATCCTTCATGAATTATGTCCGAAGTGTAGCCAGGTGGCATGAAATTTCGATTCCACCCCCTGGTAATAGCTACTTCTCTTTCAGTCAGATTATCATGTTGCACAACAACCCCAATTTTAGCATAGAAAATGCGTAAGCAAAGAAATGCTCGTCAGGAGACGTGCAAAAGGACAGGTTGGGAGGTTCTTATATTTGATGAGGTTTTGAACGTTATATATCCGGTGCTACGTCACTAAATCTTGTGATTTTAATTGAGCACCATTAGAATACAGTCAGTCGAAGGAGGGAAATAGCTTGGTAGCCGCGGAAGATGTCTGAAATTGCAGTTTTTGCGAGACGCTTCGTCGTGTTCATGATTTTATGTTCGAGAAGAGTTTCAGGTTTTTACTGAAGTCTCAGGGCTCTTGCTAACTGTGCCCATATTGATCCTTCTTTGCTCATGTACCTCGCTGATTCGCACCGAGCTCATGTAGGTCCTGTCAACATGGTATTAATACTAGTGTTTTTAAAGGCATTTGTGGAATTCAGAGTCACATTTTTTGATAAAAAAAGAGCATGCAACGAAGCTATTGGAACGAAGTGGGAAAAGTTTAGCTGAAATATCCAATCATGATGAAAACATCCTGTGAGATTTGAACAAATGTTCAAGATTCATGTGTTGCTCCAAATATTCAATTGTATCGATGGCAAACCGAAATTTATGTGGAGTAGCAAGTGGTGTTGTGGGTGCGTAGTGCACAAGAGGTTTTAAACACGTCTTAGGATATTCCGAAACAAACTTGACATGAAGTGTGCAGGAACTTCATCACTCTTGTGGCCTGAACACCGCTTTTAGGTGTGACTTGGATCCAATGGATATCAGCTCTTATTCTCAATGTGTGAAGAAGCCAAGTCACAAGGTTCTTCCTTACCGCTTGGCAGCGAATTGGACGATGCTTTATGCTGTGTTGTGATGTTATTGTAGAAGGTTGTACACCGCACATCAAATATATTTGAAACTCATTGCCATGTGAGCATTGTGGTCCACTGGAATAGAAGATTGTTATATCTTTCTGAGAGAAATGCGGAATTCATCACGAGGAGAAGATTTGAAGTAGTCTGACTTGCTGAGCGAGCCCTCGGATCACAACTAGTCCATTGCAAGTGCACGTCTTGGGTGCTGTACCCAATTGTGAGGCGTGTGCTTGGTCCAAGTGAAATAAGATTTGCCACGTGACGTTCTTTTATCACCTTAAAAAATGGAGGTAACCGACGGATGCCTGGACAAGATGGAAGAGATCAACTGTTGTTGAAGACCCCAACCCCAGATTTCGCTCTCTTCCTTCCAAACCTGAACTGCACGGTGCAGCATCATTCAACCCTCATTCCCTCACAACCATGTGCTGTCAAATGCCTAAACCAAGTCTAACCACTCTCATTGAGCCATCTGTAGCGGCACGCGTCAATCTCACAGAAACTTGCTCCTCCATGTCCTGAGCTCACAATGGGTACATAGATTTGTCGGAATAATCTTGTGTCATCAACCCTCTAGTGTGTGTTCAACTCTTGCGTGCGTTTGTACCTGTAGTGGTCGACTTAATTGTGGAGCTTCTGATCGATAGGGGTCTATACTGTGTCTATTTCAACACTCGGCATCACATTTGGATTGAAGGGAGCAATGGCAGGAATTGTGGATTCGGTGACGGCTCAAGCAGCGGGGGCATCTAACCCTTCCTGCTGCCCTTTTGTGCCGTTATGCTTCGACTGTAACACGCGACGCAATCCTTGTTGATCAATCTACTCTAGATGATCATGATATGGACGAACTGAGATCCGGACTTAGCGCCGAACTCTCAGGAACTAAACTCTTGTGCTTAAGACTGCGAACTTACAGTTGCAGAATGTAAGCAATGTTTGGTCATGCTGAAATCACTGTTTTGTTCTTTTTCTCATGGTATCAGACCAGAAGTTCTTCCCCTCTTCATTTCTTGTTTTTCTAACATTGCTTACTTCCCTTGGTTGTAATGCTAACCATTGACTCATTACAGCTTCGTATTCGATACACATTCTCGATCAAGTATTATTTTTTCTCTTCTCCTGATGTCACATGATGTCATCTTGTCACAATGAGTGATATCATTTTGAGATCCAGCAGACTCTCGATTCTTTACAGGCTCTCATTCGTATTATTTTCAGAACTAGCCTTTTTTGCCTAGATCCATTGACCAAGATGAGTAACTTGGAAACAATTTGCTCGAAAGAGCCGATGCTCACTGGTCCGAAAAATTACAAGCACTGGGCTATTACTCTCCAGAGCATATTTGAAAAAGAGGATTTGTGGGACTTTATCGAACCACAACCGATCACCACTGCATCGTCATCCACAGACCCGCCATCGAAAACAGAGTTCGAACAGCCTAACACAGACGTCACTCGATGGCGAAAGCGACGAGCTAAAGCCATGATTCAACTCTCACTCACTCCAGATCTGCGCTACAATATTATCGATATCCCAGATCAACGAGACGCTTGGCAAGCACTCAGCACTAAGTATCCCACCAATACTATTTCAGATATCATGGTGGTCCTGAATTGCTGGGAGAACTTCCGAATGGGAGAGTTACAGGATTTAGCCACCTTCATACAGCAACTAAATGACATTATCCGCGACCTGATCCGCGACCTGAAATCAATCAAGCAATCTAACGAGGTTGTCATACATAAAATTTTGAATAGATTACCTTGCAGTTTTGACAAGCTTGTTTCACAAATCCAGTTCGAGAAAGAGATTCCAAGCCTACAGGAACTCTGGAATCGGCTACACATGGAGGAGACTAACGCTATCTTACGCGATCACATGAGACACATGACAAAGCACTCATGATGAGGATCCAAAACATTTACAACAGAAAATTTCATCGAAACAAACCTCAATGAAGTCCATAGCCCCTGCGAGGACAACCTCTTACCTACCATAGGTTTGGAAAAATCGAGCACACATCTCGCATTTGTAGGTCTCCTACACCACTGCCATATCCAACTACCGGATCACCATTTTCTACAAACCAGTCGGGAGGAAACTACACCTCCCCACACAATCATACAACTAGCACAAGATCCAACCTTGGAATATCTCACAGAGGCTTACTCCAAACATCACTCACCTGAGGTTTACTGTCAACCTAGAAGAATTTGACTGGATACTAGATCTTGGAGTATCGAGGCATTTCTCAAGATTTTACAGCTTTTCGCTAGGTTGATCATTCTCAGGGATCCACTATCACCTCTGCAGGTGGCCACTCTCATGTCATAGCATAGCAGGACATGGAACTGTTGATCTTTCATTGCCAAAGGATGATCGTTATGAACACAGAAATATTCTTTCTTTAGGACAGATTACTGACTTGAGAAACTTGTGCATTTTTTCACCAACAAAATGTAACGTCATCTCTATCAACAAACCACTCCACATAATCACATATGGCTCCAGAGACAAAAACAATTTTCTATGACAAATCAAACTTGTATAATTTGCTATGATGCAAAATAAACTTGACAAAAAATACGAAAGAATCTACTACATGCACAACATCTCCACTGGCTCTCATATATGTAGATATCTGAGTACCACTTTCCATCAAATCTTTAGAATATAATCAATATTTTTTGCTCTTCACAAAAAATTATAGTTGATTCTTATGGATTTACTTCTTCACAGCAAAAAATCAAACACTTCAAATGTTTTACGATTTTTCTACTATGATAGAAAAATAGACTACATACCACTTGCTTTGTGTGCAATCTGACAAGGAGGGCGAATTTATTTCAACTAAGTTCACATACTACGTCCAACAACATGGAATTATCCGCCAACTCAGTATAGCTTGAACATCCTAATAAAACAGGATATCTAAATCATACCATATTAAATTGGATCCATGCCATACTTATTGATAGGCGCATATTCTTCTTCTTTTGGTCTGAGGCTGTTCACATCACAATTCAACTTACAAATAATAGTCCAACTAAATCTAACAAAGACTAAACATCGTATAAATTCTTCATAGGCAAACAACTCCATCTTAATAGAATCAATGAAACAAGACCGATTTATCTCAAGTATCCAAGACTCTTTTCATCTACAATAATATAAAACCTTATCACAAGATAGGAAAAACTGGACCAAAAAAAAACTAAACAAAACTAAATAGAATGGAACATACAAGACAAAACTAAGCAAATAGACACATAACAAAACAAAATTGAATAGAAAGATGCAAAACCAAATTTTACTAAAAGAAAGGATTCAAAGCCAAACTTGACTAGATGCCCCAAAAGGCCCCAACTAGTGCTATTTATACTTTATTCTACTACCCTGGACTTTCTAAAATATTTCTAACTAGTGGACTCCATCTAGATAACCGCTCTAAGCTTTCTTTTAGAAGTTTCCATCATAGCCTACCTAGATAATCATCCTAAGCTTTCTTCTAGAAAGTTCCATGGTAGGTTCCACCTAAATAACTCCCGTTTAGCTCTTTTTAGAATGTTCCATTATAAATCCTATCCAGTCTACTAACCAAATCTCAATTCTAGAAACTTCCATGGTTCTAACTATCTATCCATATATATTAATAATATAGATATCTTATCTATACCTTGTTACAATCAAAGTATTTGGATGCCTTTGTTTTGTTCACCACAATTCCACATAATGTGATTAACTTGAAGTCCACTCTACTTTGGACATTTATGTCAGCTTAGATGATATCTTCAAAGCATATAAAGTATATCTACTAGCATTCATAAAAATTTAAATAACACAAGATGTTTCATTTAATAAAAATTATTTTTTAATATTAAACATGACCTCGCATCTGCAATCAAAAATTTTGCTTTTGCTTTCTCTCAAACTACTAGACCGCCAAATATTGATTACATCAAGTGCCTTCCAAACATTTTGAATATACAACTATCCAATTTAAATTTCAAGTTGATAAAATAAGAAATTGAAGCATTAATTCCAAAAATCATACTACTTGAACTCCACTTTGGTTGAGCAAAATTTATCAAAAATAATAGTCACAAATACTCAATGAAATTCAAAAAATCTAATAGAACCATCTTCAAGTGACACCATAGCAACATCAACTAATTTATCTCCTCATCTTTTCAACCTCAATAATGTAGATGAATGGCCAACTTTTAATGTAGCTAATGATCTTTCTTCTTATTCTAAAATTGCTACTGATACATGTCAAGAATCAAGATAATTAAAATCAATTACTTAAGCTTATGATACTAGAAAATGTCCAACATATCTTCAAGACTACTTTTGTAATTATTTAGACTTATCCATTGAATCAAAGTTATATAAAGAAACAGCTCAAGACAAAGGTTGGAGAAATTCAACAATTGATGAAATCAAATCAATTCCTAACAATAAAACATGATTACTTACCATCTTCCTTCAAGCTACTAAGCTATAACAATAAAATGGGTATATAAAGTAAAAATAAAAATAAATGGCAATTTACA